AGTGTTTAAATTTCCCAGAGATGTAGACACTCAAGGTTTAAAAAATTGAGAGGCATCTGTGATAACTATAAGCATCATTCTCACTATCTCTCCCTACCATCTGCCCCTCTTTTTCTCTGTTCTTCCTCTACAGATGCTGCTGGTTTACATTTCCCTCTGTTTTTCTGCCTATTCTCTGCCCTTTGCCTTGTAAAGTTCAATGGTAGCCAGAGGCCTTACTTGATTCTATTACTGCCCTCATTCTTGGGCCGGACCACATAACCCTTAAAAATTCAAACGTTTTCCATAAAAAAGGAAAGGCCCTATTTAGAACAGACAGCCGTTTCCAGGGGAAGTATAGATGAGCAACACGCGTACTTGATTTATAAACCAAATCAGAAACCTGTGACAGCACTTTGTTATATAGTGTGAATAAAACTTAACAAATTACTATTTAGTTGACTATCTTCTACTGTGTACTATTTTTCATCACCATATCTTTCTTCACCTCCCTCCTCCTACATTATAAATTAGCACCATTTTCTGGCACTTTTCAGACACAACAGATGTAATGCTATCAACATTCTGATAATGCTGAAGTCACCACGAGCTCCAGGCATACTGTTTGCTGCCAGTGATCCCATGTTTTTATGATAAGTTTCTCTCTTTTCCTAATGCATTGGACCATACGAGATATATATTCCATAGCAATGTGCGTACTATAATACCAATTGCAGAATGGGCCATAAACCAAGATGAGCAAATGGAAACATCTGTTCACCTTCAAAAGTCATTAATGAATAGATAATTTTTTAAAGCAGCTGGAGCAAGCACCATAATTCACTGAGGTGTTTAGTATGCCATCCAGTGTAAGTTCTAGATGCATCAACTACCCATAGACTAGTACTGAGGCAATAGTTCGGTCAGAGCTCTCCTTTTGCAGATTTCTGGTGACTTGGTTTGTGAGACTTTCTGGTGACCTTGGTTTTGCTGAAAGACTATCTCATGAAATTGCAGGAGACATAAAGAAGAAAAAAGTGTGGATGTGCAGAGAGACGATAATATGTAAACATAGATGTAGATACAATAAAAATCCAGATTTACTTAGCTCTTAAGAACTATAAAGAAGTATGCTTGGCATCAAAGAGGTATGAACCGTCAAAATCTTTTCTCTAAACCTCCCTCCTGGAAATGTGCAAAATAATATTCACAAGCAGCAGGAAATGAGAAAAAGGATCATTATCAGGCTAAAATACAAAAGAACATGGTTAATGTGTTCAGACATTAAACTATGAGCTAACAATTAACAACCATGCTTATACCCCACCTGCCATGACATTCCACTCAATCCATCAAACACACCCAGAGACCATTTAGAAAAGTACCCAGGACACTGAACTCTGCTGCACTGGGAAGGGATATGCAGATATGCACGGTACAGTTCATGATATCAAGGCCATGATATCTGTCTGACAAGGGAAAAGCGCATGGGCCATTAAAGATCCAAACAAGAAGTTAAGTAGCAATGCAGTCCTTCCATATATGAGCTGCTGCCATATATTACTCATTTTTAAAGGAGAGACCTGAGAAATAAAGTAAAATCAATGTCGCAAGATATCTCTAGGAGTTGACAGTCTTTTAGAGCAATGTATAAAGGTTCCAAAATCTTTATTTCCAGGGTGAAAAGGATAATGATGGATACTGGTGGCTTTCCAATTCCCATTGGGATGGGGGTGGGGTAGGGTGGGACTAAGGATGGGAGTGACAGAATTGGTCACAATCTGGTTTTGCCATCCACAAAGGGAGAAAGGAGATCATCAGCTGAAAGCTAATCTCCACAACAATTGGCTCACAGACATTTCATAAATGGGTTCAACATCAGCTCTTACACTCGTTTTTACTTATATGGCTTCTGTTGCCAGCAGCTGATGTAAGGAGGATGCAATGGAAGTCATGACCATGGTGGCATAAATAAAGCATGTGTCAATCTAATAAGATGCAAAGAACCTCAGAGCTTCAGGAGCAATGCACTGCCCTGGGTTCTGCAGCCAACGGCAATGCACCTCTCATATTCTCAGTAAATTCTGTTTCAAGGGACAATGTTAGGCAGCCATTCACCAAAGGTTTTGAGACAGGATCATTTAACATGCCACTCTCTAACAAAAAGCATTCACTGAACAAATATAATTGAGAAACATTCCATTCCATAGACCCTTTCCAGTATAATTTGCAATGCAGTTAGCATGTTCGAGACTGTGATAAACCTGACATTTCACAATCTTTTAG